GGGGAAGAATATATAAATGAGGTAACAGCTGTGGATGCTTTGTAAAGAGAAAGAACCTCTTGCATTTATTTCTCTAAAAGTAGCTGGTACAACAGTTGGATTTGGCCCAAAGCCAGGTCACAGCCAAGCCTGCTTTCTCTTGAGCTCCTGCTCGCAGTGAGGCTCCAGGTTCAGGACTGGGTTTTCAGAAAGCCTTTGCTGCACTAAGTTTTTAGGACATTTCGCAGGATAAGTCCCTGCTGATGACAGACTAACTGGCACTACTGTTGGAATAGAAGTGGCATTCAACCAGCATTACTCAGGGATCTGAAAGACTTCCAGCACTGTAGTGAAATCCACGTTTGAAACTACCACTGCCACTCTTGTCAGCCCAGCTTGTCAAGGTAAACTGCAAATCAATCAGTCTGCTTAAACCCCAGTGAAAAGTAGGGTGGTTTGGGGGATGAGTCCCAGGAAGATCCCAGATCCTGTCTGAGCAGGAGCTCTACTCATCCTTAAGGGAAAGATGGAGAAATATGAGAGTTTCTGCTGTTTAATTGCAATAGAGCTGCTGGCTGCTTAGCAAGAGCTGGAGAATTCACCGACAGACCACCAGCAATCACTCGCTGTCTGCTAATTACAATCCCAATGTCACACAGTGTTCCCTTGGAGACCCAGGACCTTCTTCAACAGCTGAAGACCTCCTGCATTCCATAATGAATGAAATGATACTGCTGTTTAAAAACTGATGTGCACAATCCTAGTTTAAATTAATTTATATGTGGTATTTTACCTCTGTTTCACTGAAGATGCTTTTTCTTGTCAGTGAGAATTTTGTATGGTGGGAAAAACAGAACATAGATTATTCCACAGTTAAAGCCTCATTCATTTTTTTTCTGCTTCAACTGGTATAAATCAGGAGTCATTCTGTACAAATCAATGGAAAATCACTTATTTAAATTAGTAGAACACAGTCCTCTACTGTCATCTTGTAGTATGCTTAAGCAGTGATAATTGCCTATCTGTTGCTTTTTGTGCTGTATAGAAAAGTGTTATGGACCTGAAAAATTGTGCATGGACAGTGGTAGACATAGGAATGGCTGGACAGGACTTTTCAAAGTAATTATAGAAACTGGCTTCCTTGAGAATAGAAATCTGAGGAAACTGATGTGAAGGACAACTCAGTTGCACTAGTGCAGCCAAAAGAACAACAAAACTTATGGAAAAACAATGTCCTGAAGTTTTTGTTCAGGCAAAAATCCCACTGACCTAGGAAGTGTCCAAAATTAAGCACTGCAGTGCCAATCATGAGAACATGTAACTAAGAAAAATAAAGTCTATAAGTACCTAGCTGAGCTGGGGGCATTACTCACACACACTCTCATGCTGCAATTGTTAGTGTAGCAGTGTATGGAAAAAAAGAGTCTATCCCATATTCATCTGAGCAGAGTGATAACTACTGCAGACCAGCCATCTTGCTGTACCTCCTGGTTCTGTGGGGTTTATTTTGTTTCCTATAAGGTGGCCTGGCTAAATCCTAGAATCAGATATAGAACTGTCTGCATTTTGCTATGTTTTAATAAAAGCAGAAGTATTACCAACAATAAGAAAAAAATCATTTTAAGATCAGTTTTTAGGTTAAAGATCTTAAAGGTTCAAAAAAAAAGGAGCTTGAGCTAACCTAAATTTGCTGAATCTTGTTTACATACAGAGTGCTTTGTCATCAGATGTGTTTTAACCTCAGACAGAAGAGTACATTTGCCTCAAAATATGGCAGAAGTGGATAGATGCATGCGAAGACTCTGTTGAAAAAGTTGATTAGAATAAAGCCTAGGAAAAACCCCACCTAGGCTAGCAAAGAAAAGTATTCGGACACTTTTTTTACCTTAAAAAAAAAACCACCCCAAAACCAAAAAGGGATTCATTTGCTTGGAATGTAAACCAGGAAAAGCAACTGAACAAATGAAACATCTGTAGCTCTGAATTTGCAAGGGTTCCCTCAAGTGTTGCTTTAGCTTACAGTATTGTGATAAGCTTTACCATTCACCAGACTGGAAAGAAAGCCCTTTTGCTCTCCTCACATGAGCAACTTCTTTCTAGTCCTCTCTCTCCTTGGCAGTAAAAGCTTGAATCCAAAGGAAACTGTATTAAAGAGAATAAAAGCAGAGCGTGTTAAGTTGGTTATATATTCAGTGAATGAAAAGACAGAATTACAAAGAGGGGGGAAAAAATTGGAGAAGCAGAACACAAAGCTGCTGTGTTCCAGAAACCAGCTGAATAAAGAAAGCGCTATTTGTGAAAGAGCAGCTCTTTGAAACTTCATAGGCTGGTTCAGAACCCACTGGTGCCAGCAGAAGAGCTCCTGCTCACCTCACTGAACTTTAGATCAAGCCTTTCTCAGTCTTTACAGTGTTCCACTTAACATTAAAGAAGGATATATTTTTCCTGGAGGTTAATACAGCTAAGGAATATTTTTAATCACAGACAGCAAAGTTTCCTTAAAGGAAGCAATTGACAAGATGTGCAAAAACTACTGCAGGAGAAGTTTCGTCTTTGGGCACATGTATCTACATGTCACAGCTCATTACAGATGGGAAAGATCAGCCTTATTTACTTAACTGATGAAAGAATAAATCTTTATAAGCTTCATGGAACACGAAACCCCTGCAGGTTTTTGTGATTAAAACCAAAATATGAAATTATATAGCTCTTCAGCTCCACAAATACGCTTTTAAGATCAAGTGAGAGAGAAATAGCAAGCATACACTAAGGCAAAATGGACATAAAGAAATGTGACTACTGTTAAAAGAAGATTTTATTGAGTGTCCATCAAATTCCTCCTTTTTCATGCTATTCATTCTGCATAATGCTAATAACTGTCCAAAGTAGGCATCAAGTTGGGATCAATCATTGATTTGATTTCTGACATGACCCCTTTCTTACAAGTGGGAAGCCCACCAGGTATCTCCAACATATTAACAGGTTTTGAAAAGGCATCCTTATATTTTCTATTAAATGTGTGTGCACATTTGCACGTGCAATATAGTGAAAGTACTCACAGTTGCATAATGCCGTAGTCTTGCTCACACACATGTCGACGCATGTAAACATTTGGTTTAGATTTGTATGGCTTGCATGACTCAAAGGACTTGTTTGGGAGCTCTGTATGGTGGGAAAAACAAACCAGTCCAGATAATGATTCATGGGGCGTGGATTGTTTTCATTAGGAAAGAACAAAACACTAAAGCCAAAGAATCCTATTTTAAAAGGAGGTTTCCATACTGAATGCAGTCTGCTGCCTGGATCTGGCAGGCATCCTGCAGGCAGACCCAAGATACTGCAACTAGTGACAATGCCAGCGACCTCCAGCAGCAGCACCCTTTATTTCCCCAGAAAGCAGAGAGGATTTGAGGGGGGAAAGCCACTCCCAGCTGCAGCTTGCTCAGCACATGAGAGAGGATAGCCCAAAAACAAGCACAAATCAGGCCTCTGGTTCAGAGTTACTCATCTTACAACAACCATGAAAAGTGATGCAGCCTTACAAAGCCTGGTGGGCTTGTGCACACCTTGGAGGCAGATGTCAGCCAGAGCATGTGTGTTGGTCTGCTGGCTATGACTGAATCACCCAGTGACACAGGCAGAGTGCTTGACCCTTCAAGAGTAATGATTTAATAAAAGAAACGAGGATTTGTCTTCTGGTTCAGTCCCGTAGGAAACAAGACCGTCATTGATAACAGGCACAAAAATTCCCCCAGTCACTTGCACAGGCCTTAAGGCTGCAGCTCATCAAAACAGCTGTTCTAGCTTAAAATCACAACACAGGCTGCAGCAGCCTGCTTTTCTGTTCAGCTTTCCCAGCACCACAGCTTTTGCCAGACTCCCGCCCCTGCTTCTCAGAGATGAAGAGTTTTGCTTGCACGAGTATTTGCTGAAACTGTGATCATATTCCCCTTAAAAAACAGAGGAGCAAACCAGGCTGTCTATGGCCCAGCTAGCCCAGGCTGTCTGCCCTTTCCTCCTGATGTTTCCAGCTTCCTTGCAGCTTCTTCCCCTTCTTCTGGCAACGCGGCCACTGGGGCTGCAGCTTCTGCTTTCGTGTGGGACCCAGTTCCCCAATGTTTCTTCAACTCTCTCAGAGGGGCAAAATTTTCATATATGCTTATTATCAGAGATTTGGTTCCTGTGTCCCCATTTAAAAATATACTGCCTGAAGTTCAGCTGTTCCCATTGCAGTTACTACTCCTCACTTCCTATGACTTCTGACTGTGGATTTTAACCATCAAACTTCAACCAGCAGTACACACTTACGTGTACTTCAAACTCTTGAAAAGGAAGAGGGTCTCCTACACTCTGGGATTAGTAGGTACCCGTGTAATTCTGACTTGGAAAATTCCCCAGACCAGTAAAACTCACTTGTCCTGGCCAGAAGCATAAAGCTAAAACCCAAGAAAACAACCCTAATTTTTCCAACTTGATTTTCCTGCAGGTGGTGGGAGAAATTATTTCAAAGCTAGTCTAATTAATAAATTTCCAATCAATTACTATATTATCTTGAAGATTTAATACTTAGGAAGACATTGATTATTAATGGAGTTTATGTTGGATTAAGTTTTCAGAAGCAGTCTGCCTCAACCTGATGAGTCAGTCATTAGGCATCTGAAATGGCAACATGCTGAGAACGGCAATTTGACATTTAAAGTGACATTAACCTGCAGGTTATCATGGGTTGGAAATTTCTCTTGGTAAATGAAAGGCCTGGAAATGGAAATAATGCATCAAAGTTCGAACAATCAACCCTTCTTAACAAACTCAGATAAAAGTCCCAAATGAAAACAAGTGTGCTGGGAGTGGAGGGAGAAGCTAGCAAGCATTTTCCACTTCCCTCATCATCCAGCTGAAAAAAATAATAATAAAAAAGAATAGAAGGCCATTCTGCATTTCATTTTTCCTTGGCACTGCTACAAGAAGAGACTTAAAAAGACCTACTTGACATTCCTTTCCCATGCCTTGTTTTCCACTAGGAACTGGTGTTCCTTCATGCAGTCCCGGCTGGTAACATACATAGAAGCCTGCATGAAGGAGAAGTACATTGTCAACTCCCAACAGCCCTGTCCAAATGGAACACCAGACTGCCAGAAGATCATGTAAGTATCCTAAATAAAACCACTGAAGAAAATGGAATTTTCTCTTAAGTATCTAAATCATATTTTCAAAAGTCTTAAATGACACATCTTAAAAAGAATTAAAGCATCAACCCAGTTTAATACCAAAGTCACATGGGGTCCAATTTATGTACCTAAGGTGATCAGGCATTTAGGCAACCACAGAGAACAACTGCCTTTCCAAGCCATCAGGTACAGGACTACAAGGTGATTAAGTGATTTTTTCAAATCTTCCCACATGTTTATACAGAAAAAACCCCAGAGACCATAGCTTTTTCATGAATGTCAGGTCATAACACACACACATGACTTAAAAAATCTCTGCCTGTGGCCATCAATGAGGCCATTTACGTGGCAGGAGTTAGAGATGTACGACTGCTCAAGTGCTTACCCTTCTCTCAGAAGGACTGGCTGCCCAAAGAATACTGGTGAAGGCCAATAGTGTACCATAAGGTACCAGAATTGATACAGTTTTAAAGTTGGGAGACACTGACTCCTGACAGACTTTTGAAGTTACATAATATTTAATACTCACCTACATGTATTTGTAGTTACTTGATTGCAAAAATGCTTTTGTTATTTAAGACAATTTCTCTTTCTCTGAATGAAAGAAGACATTTTCATGATTATTTATTGCTTTTCTGATAGTTCCATAAATATGCCATCTGTGGCATTTCTCAGACTTGTGTCAGAGCAGTGCCAACATGTTTGGAAAAAAATGTCAACCAAAGAACAATAAAGCCAGGGGCAGACCACTGGAGCCCTGTTACCTGAATAGCAGTTATATTCTGTCTGCAAGTAAGAATGCACACACACCGCCTGTTGTAAACCTGAAAAACCACCTTACGTAGGGGAATAAAATTGCTGTGGGCTGCCTCAATGTTTCCCTAAGCAGCAGTGATAAAGTTTATGTCAAATTTCTTAACTTTGTTCTGCATTAGTCATCCAGGACACACTTGGCAGCAGGCTGCTGCTACAGTGAGTGAATTTACCCTGAGTGATGCCAGCTGAAAATGACTTGCAATCTAATGCCCAGACCTTTACTCCTCAGGTACAGGACAGCTCTGAAGCCAGTCTATCAAGTGAAACAGAAAGTTTTGAAGTCTTTGCAGTGGAAATGCTGCCCTGGATTTATTGGCAAGGACTGTGAACAGCATGGTAAGGAAAGCTAGAGAACAAGTGTGAGAATCAATGACTAAATGCGAGTCACGGTCGCAAGAAGTGTTTGCTGTTTGGTTTTGGTTTTCGGGGTTAGGGGTATTTTTTGAGAATCAATGCCTTATTGTCTTTGGTCTGCTCTGCCCCAAATCACTGATACCTTGAAGCAAGTAGTTGTAATTAGTTGCAATTAGAAGCTAATAGCATTAGCTACTTCTTCTTCTCTTAGTAGCACCTTTGTAATCTTTACACATGGAGAGGGGGGGAGAGGGGATGGGCGGGGGTGTCTGTCAGTTGTACAAGTCCATCTAGGAATGCCTAATTCCAGGTAGAAACTGGTGACATCAGAAAGCAACTCTAGGATGTGAAATACCCCCACGGTCAGTTTACGGGATGAAGTCATCTGGCTGGGGAAACCACAGTGCATCCAAGTTCAAACAAGGTAGGCAGCATTCACTCTCCAGCCTGCCTTGCTGCCTCCTCTCTGCTTACCCTGGCTGCACAGATACAGGCTCCTAGGGTGGGGAGCAGGTCTACAGCACAAGAACAGAACCCAGGCTGTTATTTCCATGGAAGCTCTAGCAATAGCCTTTTTACACAATAAATTACTACAACTGTTTGCACTGTTGAATGATGATGTATGTAGCTGCTAAGTCAAAGAGAAAGGAGACGGTTTAGAAAATGAAGTGCTTCGTGCCATTGGCAGGGTTTAGCAACTAGTACTCCAAAACTGGAAAGAGAATTTAAAGGGGATTAAAAGTAATTCCCTCTAGCAATTAAGGCAACAATAACAAAAAAGGCAAACATCTGTGTGAAAGTTTTCACACAATCTATGTCTAACTCGCCTACAGACTCCACAGATAAAATGGGAGTGCCTGCTTTTATCTCTGTAGGTTTTTTTCACAGACAGCTTTTGTTGTACAGACCCCAGCCTAACCTCCATTTATGATGTTGGAAACAAGACTACCCAATGCAGTCCTTCCAGTTAAGTCTCTCCTTCATTATACTCACTGACCAAAACCAGCTGCTCCATCTTTATCTCATTTGTCCAGCATCACTCACTGTAGCTGGTGCCACCAGAACGTTCAGGTAACTGTGGAAAAGCAAAGCATCCATTTGCAACAGACTTCTTAAGAGCAATAACTTGGCATGAGTTAAAAAAAAACCCCAAACCCACTCTAATGCATCGTATTACCATTTATGCAATGTTGTACTCCAGTGCTGTTCTGCAAGCGAAGTAAACTCT